TCAGGTCCTCCTCGGAAGGGCCAGCCCTTCCCAGGCAGACACGAGAAGCCTCCTGACCTCGTGCCGACCTCTCGCTTCCTGCCCATTCCACTTCTTTTGGTTTTTGGCTTACCCCCTCATCCCCAGGATCCCATTTCCCTTGCGTGAGCACCGGCCAGAAGACACCTGCGTGGTTCGTGGACCCAGCACGGCCTGGGCCTGTTGTGCCCTGCTCCCCACAGTCTCCTTCCCCGATTCCCAGCTTCCCCAGTCTGAGCTTGGGCCCTCGTCGGTAAGCCTGCCCCCCTGGGATGGTCCATCCCTGGCTGGTCCATCCCTGGCTGGCCCCTCCGCACAGCACCTTAGCCTCAGAGCTCTTCCAGAAAAACCGAATGGACTTCATCTATCCGTACGGTTGAGACAAAGATTCTTCCCAAAAGGGCAGGGGATCCCCCATCCTGGGTCCTCCCCAGTCTCCATGTTGCTGTTCCTTATCGGCGGTGTCTGGGGAACATGGACATGTGAATAATCCCCTTTCTGGAAGCATTTCCTCTCCCTGGGCCTCACTCTGTGCCTGTTGTGACAGCCCTCGGCACCCGTAAGTGAGCTTGACCCGGGATCCGAGTCGTGATAGCGGAGTACCATCAGGACACCGTAGGTCACTTGCTGTCGAAAACAGGAAGTAGGATTTATTCAGACCATCCCCATGCGATGTAAGCTGAGAGGCAATTCTTTCTCTGGACTCAGTAAGTCACCATGTCCCGTCCAGTCTGCCTTCTAAGTCTTGGATCTTGCCCCTCCCCGCCTCTTTCTGCACAGCCGCGGCCTTTATTGAAACCCCGACGGCTCATTGCTGGGAGTTTTGCAGTAGCCTCCTTACTCCTTTTCAAGCTCTCTCTCTTCCACCACATCCAAGTGCTGCTGCCACAGTGATTCAGAGGACCACCTGCCTGTGCACCAAAGCCCTGTCTTCCTAGCTTGGGCCATTACCATCCTTCCTCCTCTGGCCCCGGCCACCTTCTCCGGATGCTTCTCCCGCTCCCTCCTCAGCCTTCTCTCACCTCCATGCAGAGCCCCTTCCTTCCGCAGCCTTTCCCATCTCCTGGACACATTCTGTGAAGGTTCTGGCCTTTTCCTGCATGCCTCTCTCTGCTGGGCTCTCCCTCCCCGCTTTCCTTCACCTTTCTCCCTCACCTGCCCCCCTCAGGACCGCCGGCCTCACTTGCTCTGAGACCACCATGCTGTGGCTCCCCAAGCACCCCGGATTCACATCTTTTGGGGCATTTAATGCGCTGTTTTATTTATTCACATGCGGGTCCGTGAGCTTGAGAATCAGACCTTCATCTGTCTTTGTATCTCCATTGCCCGGCGCTTAGTAAATGTTTACTGAGATACATATTTGAACAAAGGAATAAGCACAGTAAACTATGTGATGACAAAGAGACACATTTAGGTTACATCTCCAAGAAAAAGCGGCCTTCGGTGACTTCTGTGTGTCTAGCTGAGTTTTGAGGGCTGCTTTCGGAGGAGGAAATCTCCACTTTCACTGATGTGGCTGCCCTGTGGTCACGGAGATTGTAATGCGATAAAGCACATGATCTCCATTTCGAATCCCAGTCAAGGTACTGAGTGTCCCTGTATTAAGCCCTTTGTATAATAAAAGTGTATTTCTCTTTGAATTGTTTTTTTCATAGGAACAATATTGGAGAAGTCATTAGACTTTAATACTGGCCCCTGTCTCCTTTAGGTGTGTACCTGATCTGCCCAGCTAGACTGTCATTGTCTCAAAGGCCACAGCTCATTCCTTATATTTCTCTGCAGGTGCATTACCTGGCTTATTGTATACACTCAGTACCTATCGCAAGATAATGTAAAAAACTCTTTTGAATCGAAATTTATGTGTTCATTTTGGAAGAATAGGAACTATTTTTATCTTCATTTTTAATTTACTATAATTATTTCTTCTCTGACATAGCCTCTCTATGAAAAATCTAAAGAGTCCCATATCGTTTAATTAACTTGATAAATTATTACATCCTACAATATTTATCGATAACTCTGGGGAAATGACATTGTTGCCAAGTATATTAGTGAGAACTTGGGTTTATAATCCAAATATTTCTGATTCCTTCAAGTGGGAGTCCTATCAGGCACAGTCTTGGTCATTAATGACCCAAATGACTTATTTTACATTTATTGTCATTTTTTGTTGAGCGGCAAAGTTACTGATTTTTAAATAGTGTGGAACCAATTTTGTTTTTTCACACAAATGGCTGTCACCATAAATATTAATAGGTTTTCAGAATTTAATGAAGCCAGTCTTAAGAATACTGAGACTTTTTGATGTGCAGAGTGGGATCCATCTAACTATGTGTGGGTCTAAATTTGCAAATCAGGTTCTTCTCAGCTATGGGCACGTTTGCCTGGGTTACCAAGTAGCTTATTTTCTATACTACTTAGTTTCGCATTATGGCTAGTGCTTACCCCCCAGCTGTAATTTTGTTCAGCATTAAGATTTTACACTTCGTGTACACAGTTTTTTTTTCTTTCTTTTTTA